TCCATTTGGATTCAGAAACAGTCACGAAACAAATAATTCTTTACACAGTTGGTCGGATTTCTTGAGCTGAAGATGGGACATGCATCCATACCCTGAACGGGAATCGAACGGCCTCAAAATTCTTATTCGCGCTTCGAGACTTTGTATGGCCTACGAACAACTCGGCCGTGACAATTTAATGACAGATGGTAAATACTCTATTATTTCAACACCAAATACGTGATTGCGTGAGATTAGTACCGATAATAATACTAATCTTATAACCGAATTGATTAGACGATTAATGGTGACAGTTCTAGGTGTCCTGTATCACAATGACTGTCTATATAAGTGATGTATCGAAAATTCAAAACTGATTAATTTGTAGTATGTCATTTACCATCACTGATAAAGTTGTTTACCACCAAAAATATGCGAAAATTATGACGGAGACATGAAAGTACTCTGAGGAGCGAAGTCACATAAAGTTGTGTTCATATCAAAAGCATTTTCATGAACTGAAAATGCAGTGTCAGTGAAATATGAGAAAGCTGCCGAGGGTTCACATGCTACAGGCTAAACATCATCAGTAAAACAGATCTCAAACATTTACCCCACTTACCACGTTCGAAAAAAGTCAAAATTCGTTCGTCAGTGTCCAGAATTTACATAACACGAAATATTTTACGTTGTATGGAATATTTTATAAGGGTTTCTAAAACAAATCCAATATCATTCACCAGTTTCGTATTTACCGTCCGACCATATTTAAAGGAGACCAAACTACTTTACCGATTCCGACTAAATTGCTTATGGCACAAATACACTAAATTCTGTCGATTCACTTTGAGGTTGGTTCACTTTAGATCGTACTCAGGCTCTTACGTGTATCTTCTCAGTCTAATGTCAGATTCACAACTACAAATTACAGCCCAGACCACAAGAGCTTCATTCACTGTATTTAGTTTCAATATCTGCTATATTAACCCAAAAGCAAGCAAATATTTGGGCGTTATTTATAATACAGCTTCACTGTATAATTAGGAGAAATAGGACTTCACTTTCATACCAAAAAGATTCATTGCCATCCTCAACTACACTTTGACATGAACCTTTTTCTTGCAATGTTAATCACAAACATGTTTTTGTCAGTCCTAGAAAAGGAGAAACATTGTATTTGACTTGTAATGAATGATAATGACTAATTGACAAATGGAGCATTATGCAATTCCCTTTGGAGCGTTAATATGGGAGTTGTAATCCTACTGAGTATGTATATTTAACGAGCGTCTCCCTAGCTACACCAAGAAGTCGTTCTTTAATGAATATTTAAGTCTCTGCGAATTGCTAAGCCAAAGCCCTATTAGATGCCGTAATCAGCCCCCAATGAACTAGAAGACCGCAATGTAATCGACTGGCATTTTAATCTGCATTAACTCATTAATTGAAGCAAAGCCTATTCGTCCGCAACAATCCAAGCCCGTTGAATTTAAAGGGTTTCGTGTTTTTGAGTCTGGATGCACGCAGACACGTGCTACAGTAGGACTATCCATCTGGCTTCCTACATGGATTCCACACGAGAATGCTGGTATTTGTAACAAAGTATTTACTGAAAGCGATAAGACGTATCAACAAAACGGCCTGTGGCCAGCAAATAACAATGTAAACGTTTTGTATTTGGTATATTATAAGCTGTAGATGGTATCATAGTCAACTAAATTTCCAGAGGTATCATGTCTCAACCAACACAATCCCTCTACATTTTATTTACACCCTGTGAATTATGATAATATTTGGACATACAGACATAGGTACATGTAAAGAATATTTACTATTTTACAAGGAAAGGAAATCAATTTATAAAAATCTGGAGGATTTTCTTCAAAACAAGTACATAAAAATATCTATGTGCTACACCTATGAAGTAAGATGTAGCCATGCCCTCTCATCTGAAACTAACAAGTTAACCCAATTGGCCACTAGACATGCAGGCTACATATTACGACTTCACAATGTCCCCATAAAGATCATACGACATATTGCAACAAGTTCTCGCAGTATGTACCTCCACCTAATTTAAAGAGTATAGGCCCACAACAGTATAATACATTCAGATGAGGTGTATTTCCAATGTCGTTCGTCGCCTCGACGCGTTAACACGAAATATGCAGACTGCACAATTTGGTAATCACGTTTTCCCCATTTCTGACACATTCGTAACGAAAAAATGACAAAAAAATGCACAGTTAGTCTCGCCATCTCTCTCTCTCTCTCTCTGCACGTCCATCTGATTGCATATAACAACTCGAAACCCGCTGAAGGAATTTTAATGGACTTCTATATCAATAAGGTAATTTTGCTGAAATTTATCGACATATTCCAATTTTGGTTAAAATCAGACAAGAAGAGCATACTTTCCATAAAGACGTACACGCGTGTCTGCGCGTAAATTATCTAAATATTTATCGAAGCAAAAAATAACGTAGAGAAAACTGAAAGCAGCATTTATTCCGCAGAAAATCTTACGGTTTTCGAGATAATTATAAACAATGTTCATACTGTCTTCTCAAACTCGAGATCCGTTAGACTTATTTTAATTAAATATTATACTGGAGGTCCTTGCTCCTCAATCCTGCCTGTTTTACTCTATTTATAAGACAGCATGAAACTTAACATTCACGACTTGAAAATAAATAGCCGATAATACAGCGAATGCTATAAGCACACCACAAAACTTGATTTATTTGGAACACTGAGCCAAACGTGAGGCAACAATAAAGACTAGATTACATAACTAAAAAAGTCAACTCGATGCACTGGTCATATAGGACAGATACAAAGGTTTATCAAAATAGCGTGATAGCCTATGTACTGAAAGGGATCAACTCGCATTACAGTTCCCTTCATTAAAGAATTATGAGGTTCTGATGTAATCAGATTCACTTGGCAACTCAAGCAGTCATTTTGTTGGTCAACTAATGAACTGGGGAGGCCACGATTCAAACAGTCACCTGTCTCCTTACACGAAGAAACACAAGCAACTATGCTGGAAATATACGATTTATCAACCATAGAAACAGACGTAGTACGCCCAAAACTCCTATGTCCCAAAACCGGTAATTAAAAGACAATTTCGCCATTTAACGCCGAGTGGTAACTGTATGTACCAGATGCTTTAACAGTCAGTAATTCTGAATTTTGTAATTATGCGTTTTGTATCATTCTCAGTGTACACATAAATTATATCATTAAACAGCATTAACCAGTTGACATTTGTAATGGTAAAGAGTTGCTTTCTATGTGGCACTGACTAATTTCTTTAAATGTTATTTAGAACAGCTTCGGTTTTGAAGGGTTAAACAACCAGTCCTTAAATTTTCTGAAATCAACTTGGAACTGCATGTTATACCGCCGTGGCACTTTATTACACACCCCCGTTTACAATTTCCAGAACGTATTCCGCACGCTTAGATCCTAATTCAAATTATGCAGAGAAAGTAATAGTGTTTAGTGTGAAAAAACAACCGCATGAACCGAAAATTAAATATTATACAAAATCGTTGCAAAACAGAGAAACTGACATTGTAACATTTAATACCACTTCAAAATTTACCACAGACGAAAATACACAACGTAGGCCTATTTGACATAACTTAATGCATGAACGACATACCTAAACCAGATCTGTTACCTCACTGCTGAAGATCTGTTATAAGAAAACACACAGGAAGACATAACGCAATGACTTCTCGAGTCACGAATTAACAGAAAACGTTTCTAAATAAAACGAAATAAAAGTATGAAAGTCATCATCAGGTTTCTATCTGAGAAATGAAGATTTCAGTCTCAGTGATGTAAGAAGACAAATTAAGTACTTTAAAATGATTTGTGGGGGTTCTATGGGCTGAACACACCATTTATAACAAAATATTAAACAAATAAAACATGTTACTATATTGGTATCTGTATACACTGCAGCAACAAGACGTTTCAAAAGAAAACAAAGCAATAAGGCGTAAACAGAAGACTGAATAATTAAAATGTGATGACATTAAACAATTGAACTGAATTAAAGAAAACACAGTCTATTAGAAGAAAAGTAACGTAAATAATACATAAAGCGTACCTAGCAAATGCATCAAATTTATTCGGAACTAAATTATTATATCATACTGTAAACCAGGGTCAACCGACTAAATTCCCTACTTCACATAAAATGTTAGAACATGTAGGAAAATGTATGCTTAGCATAACAAATGCGGCGATTTCACCATAATGTGATCACTGACCATTGGTAATGCAGCCAGTGACGTCAGAATACCCGAAGGCCAGTAACCTTTGCGTACGCGGGCCGCCTTGCGCCTGACTAGACCAGGTTGGGCCAACCCAAATGATCTTTCGGGCCACTTTGGAAATGCATCATAACTCCGCGGGCCACATATAAAATTATATATCCCCATATTAGATTTAGATACACTATAGACATTTTTTTGAGTGAAAAATTGAAACATAATGAGTTATTATTATTGTGTTTACTATTATTCTTACATGTAAACATAGATAATATAATAATAATGATACTAAGCGTACATTGTAAAGAAATATATAGCACTAAAAATTAAATATAAAAAATATATAAATATGAATGAAATAAAAATAATGAAATCATTAAAAAATATTTATTTTACTAGTGCGATATTTGTTTCTCCACTCTTTCACTTAGCTTTTGCAAATCGATCTCAATTTGGGTATTTGCACATCGTAATTGGTGTTGCAGGTTAGCGTCCATTATGTTTGAGCGTGTTTTGTGTTTGGTCAATTTCATTTTCGAAAAAAACGATTCGCAGGTGTAAGTTGAACCAAAAGCGCTAACAACTTTTTGTGCCAGATTGGAAAATTTCTCTTTTGTGACGTAAGTGTTATAAAAATCTATTTTTGATTCTGATGTTTCAAAAATGTGTTTTAATTCAATATTGCACTGTAAGTCAACCAGTTCCATTAAATCTCTGGGGATTCCCCACTGGTTGTGCAGCTGCAGATTTCCCGATTACGGATTCCACACCAAATCACTTCTGCGAGCGAAAGGGCATGCAGTTTTTCAAGCAAAGTTCCCATTATTGTTGTCCGATTTTAACCGAAACTGAAAATGGAAACACAATCGTCGGTCGAATTGTCTCATGCGCACAGACAGACGTGGCGAAGCTAATAAACGTATTTTCTAGCAACTTTTCATTTCGAACGTACCTTAAAATGAGGAAAGGGTAATGACATTTAATGTTGCTCGTCGTTTGGACTTCAACCATCGTTTAATATTCTAAAAGAAAACTGCGCTTCGGGAGCACAGCCAACTTCCAAAACGTAGTGTCTTGTTTTATAGTATACAATGATGAATAAAGTCCAAAAAACTAACAATATCCAACGTAATACACCACCGTTATTACCATTTATAAAAAGTAATGAATCGTGCCAGTGAACATGCTGACAATATTTACAAATCATTAAGACACAATCAGACACGAGTAAAAGCAGCACGAGTGCCCAATAGACAGTGTCTGACGAAAACTATAAACTATGGTAAAGTGAAACAAATGTCTTAAACATGCAGGCATATCCATAAAACGTAAACTGTACTCACTGCCAGGAGAAACTACCCGTTATTCCTTCTCTGAGTCGGTCCTTAAGAGAACGCTGTCTAGAAGGTCCAGCACCCGTGAACGTAGCCATAGCAACGACCGTTCAACTACTTTTACTTTGTTGGAGGCGGACAGCAAGCATCAGGAAGATAAAACCCGTAGGATTGGCGCCTCAAACACCGGCGGCGTCTTTTTCGATCAACAACACCTCACCCTCCACCAGTTACCATTTTACACCCTTCTTATAAAAGGCTTACTTCCTTTTCACTTCACACACACGAACACAAATATGAATATAACTGAAAGTTCAGCAGTTCTTGAAGGAAGATTGAAATTTTCACAACCAAACTCTTTTTTGATGTAGTCTGTTCCTTCTATATGTTTTAAGGCTGTACTTTCACGGGGTTTTCCTCTTTTAAGACTTCACACAAAATCAATATAAGCTTATCCACTATTTTAGGGCAATCAGTAACAGATATTCAACTACTTCACAGATTCCCAAGTGTGTTTTCAAAGTGGTGGAGGTCTCTTAACCGCATTTGTGAGCAATATTTGTAGCATTTCTACAACGCATGCTTATCTCAACGCTTTCTCACAATCGATACGACCTTTAACAAAACAGCTGCGTTATCCTTGACCGTCTGCTTGATCATTATAAAATAAAAGATCAGTTTAACTTAATGAAATATGTGTATTCCAGTGAATAATGACGTAATTTGGAAATTCGAAACGAGCATAAAATCCCTGGTATATTGTTGTCTGAGAAATCACATCAATGTAAGTTTCTATTCCAAACAGTTTATTAGTTTGAAAACACAGGTTCGTTGCAATTCCATGTACTATTAGACTTCTTTACTCTTCATCAGAAATTTAATGCTTCCTGCGTTGAACCGTTTGGCTCCGTAATCTGTAGTTGGTCTGTATGCACTGACTGTCAGGAAGAAATTTCCACAAATGAAATATGAACACAATGTCACCCAGGATACACAGGCAGTAATGAAGATTTTACAAAGTTAAAAATGTTTGTTTATACAACACTTAAATATGTTTCCTTTGTGATATGTTTCGGAAAGCTTCACATTGCTTGTATTTCATTCCAGATGTTCGAAAATTATATTTTCAGGCAGAGAGGAAGACGGCAGGCAAGCAGTCTCTTGCAGCATTGCTAAGATCCAAGAGCAGTAGCACTTGTTCAAATCGGACCAACCGAATGGCAGATCAGGCGGTCCAATGACATCCTGCCGTGTCATCCGTGCTCCTTCTCTGTAAAATACAAACAATACAACTATTTCACTTGTTACATGAAC